ACGAAAATAACCCTTGCCCCCCCCCTCAGAAAAAGACATCGAACTATAGATCACATTCTATATATACAGTCTGCAGAATGCTTAATTGTAACATATTTTAAGCACTAATGTGGTGTATACCACGTTATTTATGGTAATTTATAACACTGGTAGTATGAGAGGAATACCAGCTCACAAGAAATCGAAAGATGTATGGTGGAACCTTACGGTCTACTAATTTGATAAACAGTGTCCAGTTGTTGACTTTGTCAAGCTTTTGATGCATCAAAGAAACAAAGACATTACTACCAAGAGAATTATAATGACGAATAAGCTCTTTTAAAACGAAAACACAGAAATTCCTAGAATAATTCTTTTTAAAACCAAATTTATTGCTGGTAGTTGTTGGTTACATCTCCATTTTTACTTTTCCATAGAGGTAGGAAGATACGGTTTGGCATCTCGACAGAGAGATATCTGAGGATAAACATGGATGAGATACACATAGACAAATGCACATTGACACACGAGTTAGAATACTTAAGATTCTCAGCGAAGAAAACATCGGAGACCACGTGACCTTTGAGTTAGTAACTTACCGATAATATTTGCAATATCTGCATTAGATATATAATTATCGTTATTATTACAGTCAGATATATAATTTTGAACTTGTGATTTATATTCACGGAATTCAAAATAACTTCAAAATGATCGGCGCACATGTTCACAATTTCTGGTTCACCCGAAGTACCCACAATCGTAGAGGGCGGTATATCATTTTTTGTTATTAACATTCTTCCAGAATGCATTACACTCTTTTTTTTTTATTAAGAATTTTGCATTTTTTATTCTTCTGGCACCTACGTACCGCGAGATTGAATTTTCTATCTTGATGATTGCATCATATGGTGAATGAAACTATGTCTTGGTTTGCCAGCATCTTACCATGCAAGAAAAAAACCACGAACTTTAGCGTGGGCGTCTTTAAAAACACCATTCCAGCCAGGGACTGGAACAAAACTAACCGTGGATTTAACTGTGAAAGATAAATTTTCTGCTTTTCTCAGTGCAATCACAATATCTTTGTAGAACTGATTAGTGTCACTACAATGTTTACAATCTTTACAATTAATCTGAGCAGCAAATGACTTCCTACGGAATAGCAATGGTTTTCAAGTATAGTTCAATGAGTTTTGCATATTTTATCAAATTGTGTGTGTGGTTTAGCTTTAGACCAATTAATGTGCATGTTACGTGCTGTAGCCTGGTTCGAGGATTGGCAGTTGGTGTGAACCAACTTTTGGGACTCGCACACAATGGACATTGGCATATAATTAGATGCAGCGCAGTGATAAATATAATTATGGATATCTGTAATAGAGCGATGTGCACCAACAGACGTAATACAATGATCTAACCATGAGGTGGAGAAATTTGTCCAACTAACGCACGTTAGTTAGTTAGCTTTATTTTCACTAAGAAGCCCAGAGTCCGAAATTATAAGACCCGTATTCGCACAGAACTCATGGACTTTTTTACTTCTTTGAGACAGCATTTCAGTTCCCTATAACACAAGCATTGGGTGTGTCACAATCTTGTTTTTTTCGAGGTAATTAATATGTTTTCATATGAGTTTGTAGGGAGGTATACACATAGTAGAAACAGCACGCTATTATCATTCCTAATTTCAGCCCCAATCAGTCTCGGATCATTATATGTTTTAACCTTAACCGAGTTCAAAAGAGACTTCCGCCACAGGATGGCTGCACCTCCACGTGGTCGCCAAACACAAATATCAGTACTTGTGTCAACATCTGATATATCGAGAGAATAAAAGTCGTTGTGAATAAAATATAAATAATCCGATTCATCATTTAAACCAAAAAGTGTTCTTAAACAAGGCAAATATCATGATTCTCACACAGCTTATTGACAGCTGGTCTACTAGTTTTAATAGATCTACAGTTGTAGGTTACAATTCGATGGATATGCCATAGATAGAGTTAGTTACGACGATAATAGATCTCCGCACAAGCGCCCCTTGGCCATGGTTCGGGGTTCAGAGGTTTAGTAAAGTTGGTTATTGTAGAAGATAAGAAGAGTACGTTTCATATTTAGTAAGTTTCTTCTCACATTTAAAATCAAGCTTTTTGGGGGGGGGGGGGTGAGGAACATATGTGATTTTATTTGCTTGGATGCCTCTGACCATTTTGCGATCCATTAATTAGCGCCTCGGCATGTAGTCGTCTTTGTCGACAGCTGCGATGTGTTATATAACCATCACTCGTACTGTTATTTTCATTCATGCTTAAACTCACAATAATTGACTGGAATCACAGTATTTTCGTAATGAGCTCCAATGATAGGTGCTATCGAATTTATGAACCACCCTGTTGACCATACATTTTGTCTGATCCGATACTAACAGGGACAGTTACCCCAGTCTTACATGATAGGTTCAGCTTTTCCCTGATAGCACGAATATCATTAAATATATCTTCATGATATTTAGAAATTGCATTCACATTATTTTTCAGAATTGTAATGTCACGTTTTGTGTGAACGTTATCTTTCAGTAACAAAGAAAGATCAATATGATCAAAGTTGATAGGTGGGAGCTTACTCAGGTTTTTAGCAACAAAACACGGAATATGATCAGGATTCTATTTCAGGTAGAAGTCCCACGATGTCATTGACAGACTTTTTCTGTCCCTGCCTTCTGATATTTCGTCGAGTGGTTTGCTCACAACACAACACAACACAACACAATACAATACAACACAACACAAGTCATATAACATACATTTGGCTTCATCAATCTCCGAGTCACTATACGTGTAACTACATAACTTCACACGCATATCTGTGGCAATAGTATCCATTTTGTCACAGTAAAACATAACATTTCATTGATAACAATGTTGTAACTTGATAGGTTGCATGTGAGATTGAAGACACCCCCATTAGGCACTGGACAAACAAAAAGTACAGTAGGGTAGGCCTGTGTTTTTTGAATGTCGCATACATAAAAATATATGACCCTTCACAAACATCTGCATGACATTTGCTGACCCCCTTGAATGGTGCACGAACAAGTGTGACCCTCCCTCTTTCTAAGTGTACTAAATATACATACTAATTGATGTTATACTACACAGCTTAGAACTTTTCTACTTCAATCAGTTAGCCCAGCTCTCACTGAGATTAGAACAATACATACACAATTTTACTGGCACCTTTTTATGAGTGTTGTGTGTTGAATCGTGTGCATTTTTTAAAATACTAAATACACATCTTCAATACAACCATTCTATATGCTTATTACATACCTGGTCTAACGAGTTCTAGTAATAATTGCAAAGTATTGAGAAGCCTTTTATGCAAAGCTTGTTGGAAGAGTTGCCCGCCACACAGTATAAATATGTTAATGAGGAAAGGAATCTTATTCACCAAATCATCTTCAGTGTTTTTCTCTCTTGAATCAGTGTGATGTTGAATGAAATAAGATATATAATTCAAAACCAACTTGAACAATAACTTATAAAAATGCACATGATACCAAGATATAAGTTTGAGCAATCAGTTAAAAAGTTCGAAACGAGGGCTTATAATTCGGTTCCCGTCCTTCCGTTCAGAGTAATATTTCAGAACCCTGTCGACCAAATCTGTTCTTTCTTTGCATATGCCTAGT